AAAAAAAAAAAAGGGAAAGAAAAGATGAAGAAGTGGAGAGAAAAAAGAGAGGAAAGAAAAGGAAATAGAAGGTGAAAGAAAAGGGAAGAGAGAAAAGAAGAAAGGAAATGACAAAGAAAAGGAAGTAGAAAAAAAGAAAGTAAGAAAAAGAAGAAGGAGACGAGAGGCAGAAGAGAAAAGAAAGAGAGGAAGAAAGGAAAAGAAAGAGAGGAAGAAAGGAAAAGAAAGAGAGGAAGAAGAGAAAATGAGGAAAAGGAAGAGAAGTGGTGATATATATAAGGACCGTATAATCCTTATTGGCGCGCTTTCACAAAAAAATTTCAATTTTTTTGGGAAAATTTTTGGCGCATTAAGTATATTCGGACCAAAATCGGTCCGAATATAAATAAATTAGCGCACAATCAGAAACATTCAAATTTATGGTAAAAATTTGGCACATAAATTAATTACGGACCGATTTCGGTCCATAAAGTTATGCGGACCGGTATTGGTTCGAATATAGGCACCCCGAGGGATTTTTAATTCTAAAGCTAAATTAAATTAAGTATGAATATATATGCGGACTGGATTTGGTCTGAATATATGCAAAGAATCCAGAAGCTTCTATGCTTTTCATTTTTCAGACCGATTTTGATCCGAATATACTAGAAAAAATCCAGAAACTTCTCCCAGTGCACATTTTTATTCTTTTCATTTAAGGACATTACCATCTTCTCGTGTCCTCAATCCATTCCTATGAAAACTAATTGCATTTACATCGACCCTACAGTCCCTTCGAACCACAAAACCATCGATTGTCTACCTGAAATTATCTTACGATGGTACGGAGCAATATCGTTGCAAAACCACGAATGTATAAGTTGAAGGTTATTAGATATAATGTTACATAATGCCTTTTTGGAGTCACAAGCAAATAAAATTCATTTTTTTTCTTAAGGTTAATAACTTTGTTTTGCAAACATTCGGAATGTTACGGTTTAAAACGAGAGTAGAACGACTCAAGCACGAAATAACAAGAAAAAATAAAAAGCTGCTGTTCAGGTGTATATTCGGACCGATACCATACGGACCGGTATTGGTCCGAATATAGGCACTCCGAGGGATTTTTAATCCTAAAGCTAAATTAAATTAAGTATAAATATATACTTAATAAAAATTATACTTATTTGGTAAGTATAAAACATATAAAAATAAATAAAAATATAATATTGATAATTATAATTATAAATAAAAAATAAAATGTAAATATATATAAACTACAACTATATAAATAATGTAATTTATAACAAAATAAAAAAAAT